GTACTTTAAAACATATAAATAAGTTACCCGGGCAATTGATTTACATCAGCCAATCAGACGAACTTCTTCCTATGAGCACTTTCTAGTTTATATAAATATAAGTGATTGTTGAATTGTTTTCCCGATCTACAAAAAAATGTAAAACAAACTATATAAGAAGCTTAATAAACTACTACTATTACGCACCAGAAAAGAGGTTTTTAAGAGGAGCAATAATAGGAAGAAAACCAACATGGTTCGGAAATTATTTATTTACCCGTATATTAACACTACCAATTAACTTTTTAAAAAAAATTCTAATAATAAATAAAACACGCAATTCAGAAAAGTTATATACGAAGTGGAGAAACTACTGGAAGTAGATGAAGCACGCGATATGAAGAAAATACATAAAGTACACGACGTAGAGAAGATATTAAAAGTAAATATTAAAGCACACTCGACAAGAAGTTAGCGCTAAAACGCACGCGACGCGGCAAAACTATTGGAGGTAAACGCGATGAAGGTACTAGAAATGCCGAAACACACGCGATATGTAGAAGCCACTGAAAGTAAGTATCGATTAATATTAATGTGTCTCGCAACTAATACTATTTTCGGCAGTTAGAGGTCTACTGGTCTGAAGGAGGATCGGTTAGGTGCCTTCCTCGAACTGTTAAAAATAGTATTATATATTGAATGCTTTCGATCGCTCACTTAGCACTTCTGGCGTATCTCTATATGCATGTATACGAGCACATCGGAACTGTTATGAACTTCGTAATGTTCTAACATATTTCTACGAATCGTGAAATTATTAGAATATTACGAATAGGGTTCACATGGGCATGTTAATTTGTTAGGCATCAACATATCGTTTCGGTTTAACAAGTTAAAAATTGCCGTGGGTCCGTACCATTTTTGATATTATTTCTACGAATCGTGAAATTTTATCGACATGTTACGAAGGCTGACATCTTTGGATTTGTTACACGAATCGTTGAACAGACCAAGGGTTGTTAGCAATATTCTTCGATCTATTTCTACGAATCGTGAAATTAATCGGGAATATTCAGCATCGGAAGTGTAAAATATGGTTATATAAAGCGTTGAAAAAACCTTTTATTAATCTTGCATTCACTGAGTTAATTGATCTTATTTAGTACTTTTATACTAATTTTTTTTTTTTTTTTTTTAATACAGTTATCAAGAACTTAATATTCACGTATTTACGAACGGCCTTAGATTAAGCAATTTCTAATTGATGAATATCAAAACTTACGACAAACGATTAAACATATGCAATTGATTAAGCATAAGAAAAATTAAACAATAAAATGGTAAGTTTATTGTACCCAAGTTTGAAATCCTACGTATCTACGAACGGAAACTTTTTATTAACAGTTAAGCAATTTCTATTTAACGAATTGATGAATGATGAAGCATATGTTATTTTTCTTTAATAAATTATTAAAGTGAGGTTAATTTTTGTTTATATCATTATATTTACCCATTTTCTGCTTATTTTTCTTTTTTTCTGACAGAAAGCACTAACTACCCGGAAGTATCCAATGGGTCTCACGAAGAAGACATTACCGGCATCAGATTCGATGTAACGTAAAACTAAAACCATTTTTATGAATTTGTTAATTTTTCGTATAGTCAATTTTTTTATAGCGAACTAACGGCTATATAGCATATCAGATATCGTTCATCGAAGGTTCCGTCAAACGAATATGTGATGAAATGTTTTATTAGATTTCTGGTTTATCGTTGACTGCAACTTACATAAGAAGTCAATTTATGTTTTGGATTTTAAAGACTTTCTAATTTACTATTCCTTTAAAGAATAATGTATTTGTCTCAATTGATTTCTATATTTATTTATTTATTTATTTTGTAATTTGTTACGTATTCAATTTTTGGCATTGCATTGAATAAACTAAATTTTCTAGCATTATCGTTATTTAAAATAATATTAAATTGTATATACCGTATTTGAATGAAAACAAACTATATATATCAATATCGATATATGTAGCATCTATACTTTATGCACATTTGATGCGTAGATTAGATGTGATAACCGGTTAAAACTATATATGTATGTACGTACCGTACGTACTGTACCAAAAAAAAAAAATGCCACCACAAAATTTTGTTATTCTTGGAGGTGGCATCTCTGGTTTAACGGCAGCATGGTATTTAGCTCGTAATGCGCCTTCCTCAATAAAAATCACATTGTTAGAAGCATCAGATAGATTTGGCGGATGGATACGAAGTACACGTGTTGGAGAAGAAAGGATACTTTTTGAACAAGGCCCCAGAACCTTGAGACCTAGTGGATTAGGTGCAGGTGTTATACTGGATATGGTAAAAAAAATAAAAACAATTAGTATTTGTAACAAAAGCTGTTATTGCATTTTATAAACTTTGCTAATTTTGTCACATATATGTAATTTGGACGATTCTAAAAAAAAAATTAAGGCTGCAAAATTGAATCTAGCAGGATTCATTCATGCAGTTGGTAAATTTGAGCCAGCTGCCAGAAATCGCTATTTATATTATCCAGATCGTCTCGTTCAACTTCCGGGAGGCAATTTACTTCCAGGTTTAAAAAGTGTTGTACAGAATAAATTTATATTATCCTCAATATATTCAGTACTGCGTGAACCATTTATTAAACCATTCAAAAATTTGGATGATGAAAGTATTCATAATTTTATTACAAGAAGATTTAATTCAACATTGGCTGATACATTAATGAGTGCACTCGTACATGGAATTTACGCAGGTGATGTAAAAAAACTTTCGATCAAGTCCACGTTTAAACGAATGTTTGATATGGAACAGATTTACGGGTCGGTAATTAAAGGTACAATTAACAGCAAAAAATTGGCCACACTTACTCAGAAAGATCAAAGTTGGTTGAATTCACTTTGTGAAGAGAACAAGGATCTTCTCGCATTGATGATTAACACGAGTCTTTATTCTTTTGCAAATGGTATTGAACAATTGGTGCATGCTATTGTTAATGATTTGGAAGCTAGAGAAAATGTAACTATAAAGACGTCACATCATGTAAAAGAACTGAAATTTGGTAAGGATATTGAGGTAAGCAGTTTGTATGCACACTTAAATGAGGAAAATGTAGATATTTCTAATTGCAATTTTTAGGTCTATACAGATGATGGGTCATTTAATGCCGATCATATTATTAGCACCATTCCATCACACGAGTTAGCAAATCTTCTTCCTGAACTTCCATATCTGACACATAATCCTTCGGTAACAGTTGCAGTTGTAAACATTGCATATGGCCGGCCAAATTTACTGCCAGTCAAAGGATTTGGATATTTAATTCCACACATAACACCAAACAATCCGTATCATGTCCTTGGTGTAGTATTCGATTCTGATGCTATGCCTCATCAAGATTATAAAAAAGATAAATACACAAAACTTACAGTAATGATGGGTGGTCATTATTATAATGATCTTTCAGAAAATGATTATCCAAATAAAGATGAGCTATTAAGCCAAGCAATTGAAAAAATAGAAAAACACTTAGGAGTATATTCAACTCCATTACAATGCATGGCACAAATTCATAGGAAGTGTATACCACAATATTATGTTGGACATTATTCCAGAATGAGAGAATTACATTATGCGATTAAGAAAAAATATGGGAAAAGATTGAGTGTTGGAGGAGCGAGTTATTTTGGTGTTAGCATTAATGATTGTGTTGCTAATTCTGCAAGGTTGGCACTCGATTTGCTTGGAAATGATGATGAAAGAGTAATTATTACTGGATTAGAAAGAGTTGAAGTAGAATGAATTAAAAAAATTTTAGTCATTTGCAGTAAATAATTTAAATCACCTAAGAATTGTAATATCATGGGCCTTAAAAAATACTTATCAGACAATGCTTTTAAAATTTTTAATTCTTTCAAAATGGTTTAATTAAATTACATTACACTAAAAAAATAAAATAAAAATAAAAGACGTTAAGTTGATTATTTTTGCATTTCATAATTCGAAAAATTAAACATTATTGTTATAGTTTATGTCAAAAAAAAAATTAAAGATAACACGTAAATAACAAAATACAATATATGTATTATTTACAAGAAAATTAACAAAGAGAACATGGAAAATGGTTTAAGATATAACACGTTTAAATCTGTGTCCTAAATCGACTGAAATTATCCTAATATTGTAAAAACTTTGTTTAAATCCACCATCTACGTATAGTAATTTTTCAGAAAGCTTGGAATGTATAACGTCCTACGGACTATTACATAGAGACCAAAATGTATGGTATCTTAATTCTATACATATTTAAAAAGATCTAACATAATATCATTTTTAGTACATTACCAGAAATTTTATAGACTGTAAAATACCCTGGGTACTTTGAAGAACATTTATAGTAGCATCAGTCGGATGTTTATTAGATGATATGATAACATATTAATTAATATCTAACATCCGACTTTTAACTACAAGTCCAGTGAAATGTTATGTCCGCCTTCCAACCACTAAAAATTGATCCAAAATTCTTGTGGAAACAATTGTCTCATAACCTTCCAGTGTTCAAATGCTGATATCCGTTGCAATTTGTCCAAAGGATTATGCTCGTCAGTAATAATATTTGTGACATTTTGATATTTCCTTAAGTCGATTTGCCAATTAATAAAATTCCCAAGCACATATTCTCTACTTGCGCCACCTAAAAAGTCTGCTTGTGTTGCTATGCTGAAGTTGATATAATTTAAAGATGCAAAAAAAACCTTTATAAAACGATAAAGATATTTAAATTAAAATTTTTAATTTAAGAATAATTAGAATTAAGTAAATGTCAATAATAGTACCATATTTTGAAAAGGCACAGAAACTTCTCCTGGACCTTCTCTAAAACACTTTACATATGGAAAAACTGCTTGTATTGTGTTTGCTACTAATGCTAAACTTTCAGCATTCGGCCACTGTTCAGAACTAACGAAATTCTAGATAACAATAATGGAGAAAAAAAATTTAATAAAGTTTGACTAAACTGTAAAAGAGAATACATCTCTATTGTCCGTTTTAAATACCAATGCTAAAACGCCGTTTGTCTTAAGTATTCTCTTAATCTGTTCCAAAGCTTCAATCGAAAATAAAGTTGATGGTACTGATCCTCCAGTAAATACATCATGTAATACATAATCATATGTTTGAGAATCTGCATTATCAATGAATTTACGACCATCCTGAAGATATATTTTATGCTCATGTTTCAGATTAAAATAATTTATAGCAAAATCATAAACCACCGGATCAAGTTCAACCACGTCCAATTCAATATTATGAGCTTGTAATGATGATGTTAATACACCAATACCAAGACCGCTAAAATCAAAATTAAAAGTTGATTAAATTCAATGACACTAAGTATTAAGTGATGATTGATTTAGGGCCTACATCTGTAAAGCTCTTTCACGTTTGTGCGGAATTTCCCTTTCAACCAAACGGACAGCTAAAAATAAGCAATTATAACAAATTATTAATAACCGATTTCATATTGAATATGTTTTATTTTTTATTTTTTATTAATATATATGTATATTTTTTTTTACCTTCCATCAAATAGAAGCATCCATATATAGAATCCCAACTCTCTTTAAAGATTCCTCCTAACAAAGAGTGACCAGCACGTAATACACGAATGTTACGAGGTTTGGTTTCTTCTACAACTTCAATCCAACCAGTAATAGATTCGTTGCGTGCAAGGATATTATATTCTATATTGTTAACTACTGTGTTCTTTAAAAAAAACCCAAATTTCTTTTTTTTTATGATATTTTATAGATTTAATAGCAAATTAAACTATAAACAAACCTGAATTATAGAGACATTACAATGAGAGTTAAAATTTGCATTATAAATAGTCATGATTATAATAAGAATTTGTGGCAATAGTTGTATGCTTATAAAAAATAACCGAGAACGTAAGGAAGCTTTAAGAGTAGTTTTACGTCTTTGACTAGCATCTTCTTCCAAACTTAATTCACCGTAAATACACCATAAAAGCTTGAATACAGTTCCAACAAGTGCCAACAATAAACCAGAAAAATACAATCGACGACAAGATCTACCTCTTGTCGTAACACTATACAGAACATATATTAAAGTTGTGATGATAGTGAAGTGTATTATTACATAAAGTATCCATCTAAATATCGGACGACGCTGTTCCTTGGATAATCTTGCACAAGCCATGACATTAAGAAACCCAATCGAAAACATTATCGGATAAGCTAAGCCGAATTGAGTTATATGTGGACCTAAATAAGGACCTAGTAATCCGCTAAGATGAAATAACGCCCTAACAATAATCGGGGATAAAGCAATTATAACAAATTATTAATAACCGATTTCATATTGAATATGTTTTATTTTTTATTTTTTATTAATATATATG